TTGACCCATGGCCATTTCCCTATTTTGTGTATTTCCTAGTTGTTCCTATTTGATTAGCAGTTTGCTGGCTTTTCTTGCTCACTTTGCCTGACCTGTCACTGACACAACTCTCATGCAACAAACAGCAAGCCTCATGTCCCGAGTCAGCTAAGCACATGTTTATATGGATTCGTTTTTGGGCTACTCCTTCTGTGCGGATGAGTTTTTTTTTGTGCTTCCTAGGGCTGTTTTTTCGGTCTGGTTTCCTGGCTGGCTGGCTGGCTGGATGGCTGGTTGGTCGGTTGGTTGGTTGGTTGGTTGGTTGGTGGGTTGGTTGGTTGGTTGGCCAGTTGGTTGGCCACGTCCCCATCATCACCAGCTGCACTTGGACGTAGGGCCTCGTGATCGGGTGGCAGTTGGGAGTTGCTCGGGACTGAGTTTTGGGCTGGTTAGGCTTGGTTTTGGAAAACTAGCCCAAAACTCGCGTGGCCACCGCTAAACCAGCAGCACACCTAGCACAACTCAGCTCCAAGCGAACCGCAAACCCACCTGAATTCAGCCCTAAACCCGCCCAACAGCAGCCTGAAATTTAGGCCTTTGCTGAGCCTACATGAACCCCAAGCCAACCCAAGACACGCCACCTGGGCATATTTAGCGCTTTCACATCCCCAGCGTCACCAGCCTCACTTGGACCCATTGGCTTGGCAGTTGGGGGTTGCTCGCTGGTTGAATTCGGGGGGCGTTAGGCTGGTTTAGATCTTGCTGAGGGTCCGCAACCGCCCCGGAAAAAAACCGAGACCCCAAGCTTTCCGTTGGGGAAAACCAGCCCCAGGCCAAAGAAACAATTCTACGCGTGCTGCCCATTGGCCCTGAATTGTAGCAATTCGACTTCGGAGTGGATGGTGATGCAACTGTAGCCTGGGTTGCTCTCGGCCTTTTTGGGGACTCTTACGTTGGGTTCGGGGTTAGCAAGCCACTTGATTGGCCCTGTACACTTCTGCGATTGTTGGAAGAAGGGAAACCGCCGACCGGTTTCTTGGGAGCGGTCAGGATTCACCATTTTGGGTGGGGACGACACGGAGGCGATCCAGGAACCCTTGAGCACAGAAGAGTGAACCCTCATCAACGAAGTCAAGCTCTGGACATCCATTTTGGACAACATTTTTGGACAGCCTTTTTGGACAACATTTTGGACAACTTTTGGACACCATCCACTTTTTCCCCTCATCTTTGGCCCGTCTTTTGGAGTGCCAGAGGGGTTCACAGATTCTTCTTGGGCGCGCCAGTCCCGGGCTTCCGAGCGGGGGCTGATGGTCCTGGAGAGGAAGACGTCGGGGCAGATCCAGGAGTCATGGCTGGCTTGGGGTACCGAAGTGGTCATCCCAGTTGAGTGTGGCATCCCGTTTTTATTCTTATTTGTTTTTCTCAAAGTTTTATGTTATTTTGTTGTTCCTTCAAAATCAAAATCAACAACAACAGGAGGGAGCTTCCTTCCTTTCTGGGCCAAGGGGTCCGCAAGCACGTGTAGAGAATCAGCCCCGCTTCGGTTCAATGTAAGGGAACCAAGAGGATGTTGTTCAAAACAGTGGTTAGAGCAAAATGCTTAACAAGGGGTTGGCGCCCTGAAAATGGCCCATCCTTCATTCCCCTATGTTTTCAAAATGTCCACCACGGGATCTCCAAAGGAGAGAGACTGGGGATGTTGCCGCTTTTCTTTCGCTGGGTTGGACAAGCATTCATCTGCCCAAGGTGATCAGCTGAACTGTGCACAGAACAGGGGGGGCCTGGGATGGATTGGGAATGTTGCCCTTGCAAAGACGCTGGACAGAGCGCTGTTGGGGAGTTGCACACATGCGCGTGGACAGCGAAGGATCTCTCCGCGTCGCTTGCCACCCTTCGGGTTCGAGTCGATGCTCAGCCGCGGGCCCAAGGTCCATGTGACATCTCCGCAAAATACTTCAAATGCTGGTTCAAGGACCCCCCCAAAAAAGAAAACCTGCTGGTTCTTCGTGAGGGAATGACCCCCCACAACCCTTCGACTATAATTTAAGGGAACCCCCAGGTTCATTCCCAACTGGGTGATTCCCTTCTGAGCACCAGCAAGAAAGTCATTTGAGCCACAATCAAAACCTGGGTAGATGAAGGTTAGTAAGGGGCAGTCCCAGCCAGAAATAGTTGCGGCCGCCTTCTTAATTCTTTACATGGTCGGGTTTTGATTGTGACTCATTTGGAGGACCCTTCTTCGAGGGGCCCAGCGGTCAATGTCCTGGTGCTTTTGACTGGCCACCAGCAGCACAGCAGCATAGAAGAAAGAACAGAGCCCCAGCAAACGGCAGCTCTCGGGTTTGTGGTGTGGTGTGTGGCGGGCATCAGTCCATACCTACAATTACAAGCGCTTTCAACATTTTGAGATGTAGAGCCAAGATTCGTAAGGGTGCCTTTTTGCAAAAGGGAGGAGGCGATCCTTTTCTTCACGCAGTGGTCTCGAAAGAGCAAGGCCCCAGTAAAACCCCTTCAACAACCCCTCATAACCCCTCCTCAGTGCTCCCTACCCCACTTCAGCACCCAAGATCTCCATTGCCCAAAAGAACACATCGTCTTACTTCCTTGGCACCCACAAAATCTGCACCTTTTTGGTACCCCAAGAAAGAACGACCACCCTTTTGGTACCCCCTAAAACCTAAAAACTCGACCATTTCTCTGGTCCCACCAAAAAACACACACTACCTTTTTTGCCCCCCCGCCCAGCTCAGGTGATATCCCTCACAGAACCTCGTGGACCCTGGTGGATCCCTGGTGGAACCCTGGTGGACCCTCGTGTGACCCCGGACTTTGGACCCCGGACCCCGGAGCCTATCCCTGAGACCCAGCTTTCTGCTGGGGAATCAGAGAATAGATAGTAATCTTGGCACAGGAGCTCCTGGCAGCCGCTCAAAAAAACAAAAAAGATTGCAATAGTCGAGCGACGCCGCCCCACTTCCAAGGCCCAGACTTGGGATCGATCCAGATAGATCCGAGGCTCCAGCGCATGGCCGGCCTGGCGGAGCGCCTGGAGGCGGCCCCCGGCCTGGCGCAGATGCGGGTGGAGCTGTCCGCGAGCCGGGCCCAGGAGCGGTTCACTCGGCGCTTGCCTTTCGGCGGGTGGTTGGAGCCCCAAAAAAGGACCCCCCCCTTTTTTTTGAGCCAAAAAAAGGCAAGCCCCCTGGACAAATAAAGAGAAACCCAAGGAACAGTATGGTTTTTGAGGGGTTTTGAAGGAAAGGAGAGCCCACCATTTCCTGGCATTTTTTTTGCCGGGGTGGCCTTTTGAGGTCCCCTAAAGAATGACGGATGGCATTTGGGTGTGTCTGTTTATTTTCGGGGATTGCTTTTGGGGTGTGGAGAAAGGTAACCCTTTGGTTTGGATTGGTGGATGTGGGTTTGGATTTGAAGGCTCCAGTTTGAGAAGTCAGAAACTGGTAGCCTGGAGAAATGGAATGACGAACAGTCCTGGCGGTTTCCTTTAAGAGAATGGGAGATGGTTGAGCCAAAAAGGAAAACACCTGGTCTGTTTGGTTGGTTTAGTCCAAAAGAAACCCGAGGCCATTCTTGGGGGGTGGCCTTTCTTTCTCTTTTTTGTCAGAATACCCTCACTTTTGGGCTGAAAGGAACACCAAAGGAACACCATCTTGTGTTTTGTTTTTTCAAGGTTGGCTACAAAATGGATGCTGGTGCTCAGCAGGGAATAGGCCTCAGGCAACTCTGTCCCTGGAAATGGAGAAGGTACCCCTAGAACCCTCAATTGGTGGTTTGGGGATTTGAACCGCTGGGTTTTCAACGGGAAACCCCTCCATTTCACCAACCCAGCGGGCTCCAAACCACCAAGAGGGAAGCTGAGAAAATATGGGATGAGCATTGGTTGGACAAAAGCTTTGATACGTCTCACATCGGAAAGGTTACATTAACGGAATTTCGATCAGCTTTCGGACGGGCATGCGGTGAGAGAGAGAGAGAGAGTGTGAGAGAGAGAGAGAGAAAAAAAAAGAGAAAGAGAGAGCCCGAGGAAAAATGTCGGTCCTTAAATATTCCTTGGTTCGGATAGTGTGGGGGTTGTACTTTTGGGAGGCTGGAGGCATTTCCGTTTGGCGAGATCCCCTCGGCCCGAGGTTTGGCATTTTTCCCCGGATGGGTGGGTTTCAATGGAGCCTCAGCCACAGAACCCAACACGATGCATGAGCAAAGCGGAAGTGTCAGCATTCCATGCCATTTGTTTGCCATCCTCGGAAAGCGAGGAAGCAAATGCGAACAAGACATTGCTTTTGCCAGGCCTGATTGTAGCTGCCATGTTGACTTCCCGGGCGTGGCGTCGAACTGTGTGAGTGCTGTGCTAGTTGATGTGATCCCTTGCCGCGAGACCGCGAGACATTGAGAGCCATGTCTTGAAGGGTTGGACAAGAGAGCTATGAGACGATCAGGGAACAGGCAGATCCCAGTCTGGCTGCCCAGCTGATTTGCAGAAGTTTATTGTCAAGCACCCAGATGACGGCACTCATTTGGGATGTACTCAAAGCTTTAAGGGGCTCAGGCTTTTTGTGGTGGCTTCAGAGGGAGACGCTACATTGCTTCGCCTTTCAGACAGCCTCAGCAAGGAGACCACAAAGACAGCTGTTTATCAGCATCGCTGACCAAAACAGAAGCGACCACGGCAACGGCGTTGCAAAACTTCATGGCTTCCAGCCATCCCTGAGCTTTTTAGCCTGTTAGTATTTAGTGGTAGTTTCCATTTAACCCACTAAAAGTTAGTCAAACTTTTCGTGGGGGATCCGAAAACGGGCAGCCCAGAAAACCAGCAAAGAGCTCAGAGCTCGGAGCTCAGGGCTCACGCAAGGACCAGCAGCGGTGTGAGGCGGAGCTGGCGGCCTTGCGAGAGAGACTGCAGGATGGGCTGGCGCAGAAGCGAAGAGCAGATTTGGCCATGGGTCAAATCCCGTCCCCCAGTGAACATCCCAATCCCCACTAAAATAGGTTCTAAAATGGGTGGTGCACCTGCCCCCAAAATTGTACCATTGGTGGTTTCGACCCACAGCCATTTGGTTTGTGAGCAGATCTGGCGCGGGAAGCAAAGCCGCGCTCATCGTAGAAAGCTTACCGGCACGTGACAGCATATCCCTTTGTTGGAAGGTGTTTGTTGGGATACGCATTTGCGAGGCCTCAAGTGTTTGTCCCGCCACCATTTTGTTAAAAGCAATGGATTCATCCTTGTACATTTGAGCCATCCTGGCCCGCGTCAGGAGCTTGCTGACGGTCCAGCGCTCGAAATGCAGAGAGACAGAGAGAAAGGGCACCCATCGGGTCAACAGATGGTGCAACAGAATGTTTTGATGTCAAAACATAGCAGAGCCTGTTCCTTTTGGCTTACTTCAAGCAAGCCCCATTGGCAACCCTCCTGCCATCCAGCCTTCTAGACCTTCCAGCCAGACCTCACCCCTTCGATCCGCTTTGGAACCTTCCTTCAGCAGGCTGCGACGACACCACCGCGGAGCTCCGCGAGGCTGGTGGCGTTTGGTGCCCGAACGGACAAACAGCTCCGGTCTGGTGCCAAGAGCCCCAGGTACCCCGAGGTTGTTTGCGTTTTGCGCGGCACAACTTGGGTTCAAACATTGCCCGTTTCAGAGCGAAAGGAACCCCCTTCCGCCTGGGGAAGGTTCAGGGCCCCCCCCTTTCTCTCGATTTTTCCCAACAGCTGAAGGCGATGGGGGTTTTTGGGGGTTTGCTGCTCATGCCACCTCAGCTGACTTTTTGTTGCTCGAGCTCTTCCGGCGGGCTGGCTCGTTCCGCGAACTTGAAGATGCCGGAGCGCCCCCGGTCCGTGTTTGCGGGCCACCTGGCTCTGCGGCTCGGCGTGGTCGTTTTTGTTTTTTGGGGGGATTCGAAGCAGCCAAATTGCAGGGGAAACAGCACGTTTAGTCATGGAAAACGCCCAGTTGTAGAGGTCCTGTTCATTTTTAGTGGAAGCCCCTCATTTTTTTTGGGGTTTTCAATCCCAGCCAGTTGCGACACTTGCGGCCCTCGGGATTCCGGCTGATCTTCCTTCTGTGCAGGGCACCCCATGAAAAGGGCTTCTTCTGAAGCCAGGTGCTCTGGTGGTACGTCCGGAGGAACCGGGGGTCTGAACCCCTTCTGAGCAGAGGGTAAATGGGGAACCCCAGGCTCCAAGCCACCAAGTGGCAAGCGGTTAAAAAGCCGGAGTGAAAGCGACGCCTTTTGGGCACCAGGCAGGTCCCCAGCGAGCCCAAGTTGGCCCGAATCGAGCTGGGGGACGGCATACGGGGCTTCTTTCAGACCTGCCAGCTCTTCGACGTGCTCCTTGGCGGAGCTTGTGAAACGAGGCTTTTGGCGCACGGACGGGGCGTTCTTTTGCCCGAAGGATTCGTTGAAGTTTCAAAGAATTGGGTGGGAAGGTTGGCAGCTCAGAAAGAGTCATGCCCAACCGTGCCGTGGTCAAACCACTGCTTTACTTTGGGTTGGCAAGGTCATGGACGCCTTTGCAATTTAGACCATAAGGATTTTCAAGAGAACCATTGGCCCACATGAGCTTTGGCAACGATGAGCATGTGCCACAGTAGATTCCCCTTTTCTCTTACCAACCCGGAAAAGGATATACGATCCTCCAGGAAGACCACTAAAAAGATCAACTTGATAAAAGTTACCCATGGTCAAAATTGGGATTTGGCCGCACGGAAGGTTTTGATGAACTCCTATTTTGTTTGATGAGCGTGTTTTTTGTAGATCGCTTTCAAGGGTGGATTTTCCGTGCTTCTGATGCATGCGAAGTGATTGATCTGAGAGGCTAGGGCCGGGTCTGTGCGGTTTTTGAAAGGTGCCTGGTGGTGGGGGACCAGCGCTTCCCGGCGCACCGGGCGGTGCTGGCCTCTTTGGGCGGTGGTCTGCAGCAGAGTCTTAGGCGGGGTTTGAGAGGATGATGGATGCAACCTCGGCTCCGAGTTTTAGAGTTTGGGGTGGGCGGGTTGGAAAGGGGCGGGTTGGACACGGTGGATGTACGGCGGGCTGGGAAAGCTCCGAGTTTTAGGGTTTGGGGTGGGCGGGTTGGAAAGGTGCGGAGTCTGAGTTTTTACGGCGTGGAAAGCTCGGAGTTTTAGGTTTGGGGTGGGCGGGTTGGAAAGGTCAGGGTGGATGCAAGCTCGGTTTGAGTTTCAGTTGGGGCTGGAAAGGGGCCATGGATGATGGATGCAACCTCGGCTCTGAGTTTTAGGGTTTGGGGGTGGGCGGGTTGGAAAGGTGCGGGTTGGAAAGAGTGGATGCAAGCTCGGGTCTGAGTTTTTACGGCGGGATGGAAAGCTCCGAGTTTTAGGTTTTGGGGTGGGCGGGTTGGAAAGGTGCGGGTTGGAAAGAGTGGATGCAAGCTCGGGTCTGAGTTTTTACGGCGGGGTGGAAAGCTCCGAGTTTTAGGTTTGGGGTGGGCGGGTTGGAAAGGTCAGGGTGGATGCAAGCTCGGGTTTGAGTTTTTAGTTGGGGCTGGAAAGGGGCCGTGGATGATGGATGCAACCTCGGCTCTGAGTTTTAGGGTTTGGGGGTGGGCGGGTTGGAAAGGGGCGGGTTGGAAAGGGTGGATGCAAGCTCGGGTCAGAGTTTTTAGATGGGAGGGGGGGATGATGGATGCAACCTCGGCTCTGAGTTTTAGGGTTTGGGGTGGGCGGGTTGGAAAGGGGCGGGTTGGAAAGGGTGGATGCAAGCTCGGGTCGGAGTTTTTTGGGGGCGGGTTGGAAAGGGTTTCAGCGGGTTGGAAAGGGTTTCAGCGGGTTGGAAAGGGGCGGGTTGGAAAGGGTGGATGCAAGCTCGGGTCGGAGTTTTTTTGGGCGGGGAGGAGGGGATGATGGATGCAACCTCGGCTCTGAGTTTTAGGGTTTGGGGTGGGCGGGTTGGAAAGGGGCGGGTTGGAAAGGGTGGATGCAAGCTCGGGTCGGAGTTTTTTGGGGGCGGGTTGGAAAGGGAAAGGGTGGATGCAAGCTCGGGTCGGAGTTTTTTTGGGCGGGTTTTGGAAAGGGGCGGGTTGGAAAGGGTGGATGCAAGCTCGGGTCGGAGTTTTTTAGGGCGGGGTCGAAAGGGGTTAGGCCACGGGAGGAGGGGATGATAGATGCAACCTCGGCTCTGAGTTTTAGGGTTTGGGGTGGGCGGGTTGGAAAGGGGCGGGTTGGAAAGGGTGGATGCAAGCTCGGGTCGGAGTTTTTTTGGGCGGGGTCGAAAGGGGTTAGGCCATGGGAGGAGGGGATGATGGATGCAACCTCGGCTCTGAGTTTTAGGGTTTGGGGTGGGTGGGTTGGAAAGGGGCGGGTTGGAAAGGGGCGGGTTGGAAAGGGTGGATGCAAGCTCGGGTCGGAGTTTTTTTGGGCGGGGTCGAAAGGGTTTCGGCCGTGGGAGGGAGGGATGATGGATGCAACCTCGGCTCTGAGTTTTAGTGTTTGGGGTGGGCAGGTTGAAAAGGGTTTAGGCCACTTTTCTTTTATTTTTTGGTCTTGTTTGATTTATAGGTGCCGTTTGATTTATAGGTGCCGTGCCAACTATTTTAATGTTGATAGGTATATTTGTTTTGTTCGTGGTATGCTATGAGTCCTAATGGTGAAACCCCGATGTTACCTTCTGCAAGAACTGGTGAGTGATTCCGGCTAGCTTTCTCATTCCCATGCGTGTATACGAATGGAACCAACAAATCAGGATCAGTCGGGTTCTAACGGAAGCCCAAGACTTTAGTTGATGTTCAACCCGAAACCTAGCTCAATCTTTTCCATGGGCAGTATCACCTGGCTGTGGGGCAAAATAGGTACCCAAAATGGAACCCTGGTAAATGGAACCAAAGACTAAAACCTGCGGTCCAATTCCTGGTGGCTTAATCTCGACCCTCACCCTGCTCCGTTCCCAAGTCCTACCGAATCGGAGGCGCCCTGGCGGCGAGCTGCGCTTGGCAGCGGAGCATCCGGAAGCCGCCCTGGTGCTGCTGGACTTTGCGTATCACCTGGGCGGGGTTCCCAGTGGCGAACTTGGCGCCGAAAGTTCGGCTTCCCGAAGCCCCCAAAAAGGGTAGCCTCTCACCAGCGAACGTGGAACCTGACGTTCTGTTAATTGGTGGGAGGGTATGGGGCCCCAAACAAGTCACAGCTTCGGCTTTTCTCACAGCAGAACAAACACCCAGACAAATACTTCAATGCAAATAGCCACCTTGAGACATTCAGGGCACGTGCCCTCAGCATAGGTGTCAATGCTGGAGACACTTTGGTTGCTGGTTGCAGTGAACTAGTGGAGAATGTTGCATGAAGAGGGCGGGACGGTGGATGCCCTAAATATTGCAAGTAAACAAAACACAAGCCATGGGAATTTACAGGGTTTCCCTTGCTCCCCACTTGCAATATTTAGGGCATCCACCGGAGCCCTCACTTTTGGGGAAGCCCCCCAAGTACTTCGCGCCAGGTTCTGCTTGAATCCCGAGCCAACAACAGCCGTCTGCTTTTGCTTGCCTGTGAGACTGTGAGGTGGCTGTGGGTCAAAAATGCGTACCCAAAATGGAACCCTGGTAAATGGAACCAAAGACGAACACCTGCGGTCCAATTCCTGGTGGCTTAATTTTGACCCACACCCAGGTGGCACCTTCCAGCTGAGCAGTGAGATCTTGCGAGATGTGATCCGTTTGGGGAGATCATTCGGGCTCCCTCAGCTCGTGCAGCATGTAGTCCATGCCTCAGCTGGGTGCTGAAAGTTGAGAGCCCGGCTCACCCACCAGCAGCTTGGGAGGATGCAAAAAGTTCGGCAGAATCTCCCAGGGTGTTCACGAATTGCGGGATGGAGGACCCAGGAATTTTGATCGGACTGTCCCCATGTTTGTTTCGTTTAGAGTCTTTTTTGGCCGAGGCTGAGACTCTGGCGCTGGACATTACCAGAGAGAATGTCTTGGAGCGCTTGGCCATTGCGGTGGAATTCGACCTTATGGATCTGTACAACCATGCTTTCAACCTCCTACTCTTCAGTGGCCAGCTGCTGGAAGTCTCCAAGAGTCCAGAGATGCAGCGCTTCCCGCACCTCATGCAGCATATGCTCCTGCAGCTGGCCGTGGTGCGGCTGTCGGGTTGAGATCCCGAGTGGGCTGAGCGTTTCACAGACCAAACCTGCGCCAGGCGGCCGAGCGGGCTCTGAAGTTCCCTTAAGACTCGACCCAAAGCTTCCCAAGACAGATCCACGAAATGGAGCCAGAGCCCGATTGGACGCCAGACTCTGGCGCCATTGTGCATAATGTGACTTTTTTCCGGCATGGCCACGAAGGTGTGCTGGGTCCGTGCCTCACTTGCTTGGCTTCAGGTGAGGTTCGGGGAGTGGCGCTTTGACGCGCGGTGCAGCGGGTTGCACAAAACGCGCCGTGCAAAGCGCCGCGAAGCGGGCCGGGGAAGGTGCCGAGCGGGCTTCTTTTTTTTGCGGCTAGGCGGTGCGCAAGACCAGCACAGAGCCTCACACCCAGCTGCAAGGTTTCGGGTGGAGGGATGTGGCCAGAGCTGTGGTCAACGAGGTGCCCAGTCAGGGTTCCCAGGTCGTAAAGCTGTTGTCAACTTTAGGTCTTAAGAATCCAGCCTTCACAAGAGGTGGACTGGGTGGCAGGAATGCCAAAAGCATGCGATGATTTGGCTTTCGGCTTTCAACCCAGGCTGGCATCGCTGCGGGAGCTGCCGTTGCAGCTGGAAGGGATGCAGGTTCGCTATGAGACTGACTCTTTCAAGGAGCTTTGGGGCGAGTCTTGGGTTTCGAAGTTCTTTCAGGCTCGGCTCATGCCTGATATCCTGCTGGGTGGGTTTGGAGCTGAGTTGTGCCATGCTCAGAGCCAATCTAGCATTGGCTTTTGGGGTACTTTTTGGGTTGTGGTTGAGCCCGGGTTGTGGTTGAGCCGTGCTACTGCCTCTGGCATCATTGACAGCGCAAAACCGATCTGCCCACTGATTTCTGAATTGCAGGAATGCTCCCAGCAACCTTTCGCAGAAGAATCCAATTAGGGATTTCCAGCAAATCGACCAACCGACCGAACGACGGACGGACTGACGGACTGACCGACCGACCAGACAACCAGCCAACCAACCGACAAACTGACTGACCGACCGACACGGACTGACCCACCCACTGCCCGCTCCTCCGAGAGACCGACCGACCGACCGAGCGACCGAGCGACCGAGCGACCGAGCGACCGATGAACCCCACCTCATCCCACCCCACCCCACCCCACCCCACCCCACCCCACCCCACCCCACCCCACCCCACCCCAGCCCAGCCCAGCCCAGCCCAGCCCAGCCCAGCCCAGCCCACCCCACCGTAGCGGGTGCAAAATTTTACGATTTTTGCCCCAAACTTGGGTTTGAACAACAAAACAAATTCAGAAACTCGCGGGACACGTGCAGAACTAAAAAGAAAGTGTTAAGAAAGCCCCCAGCAGCAAAACAGATGTAGAAGCTCGCGGGAAAGAAAACTGAAAAGAAAACTCAGAACGCGCGCCGGCGCGCCAGGGGGGAACCGAGCCCGGGACCACCCGCCAACAACATTGCGCTGCAATGAACTCGAGATTACCAGTAGCCTTGCGTTTCACAGGGATCAAAAGATCGTGGTGAGCCGTTTCAAAATTCCGGTTGGACTTGATGGCCTTCCCGGCTTTGCTTTCGACAGTGGCTTCACTGCCCCTCACATACGCACTCCAGCACACTTCGAAAGGCTTCAAAACAGCTCGCAAATGTGGATCCTCCCTAGGGTAGATCTCCAGAAAAGGGACCCAGGTGACTTCAGCGCTCACTTTTTGCGCCATGCAGTAAAGGCGGAACCGCGCAGCCAGGGAGTTCGCAACCAAGTCGCCCCATGGCTTCGCCCTCTCAGTCGTGCCCCCTGCCTTCAACTTCAAATAATCTGGCAAGAGACCTTTCAAGTCAACGCTCAGCTCTTTCAAATCTTTGATCTTGACATCCTCACACCACCACCACCACCACCACCACCACCCCACCCCACCCCACCCCACCCCGCCCCGCCCCACCCCACCCCACCCCGGACCCCACACCCCACACCCCGCGCCCCACACCCCACACCCCAGCGCAAAGCGCGCGCTAGGGAGGAACCAAGCCCGGGACCACCCGCCAACAACATTGCGCTGCAATGAACTCTTGATGTCCTTCCCGGCTTTGCTTTCGACACTGGCTTCACCGTCCCTCACATAATCCACGCCCTCACTCCAGCACACTTCGAAGGGCTTCAAAACAGCTCGCAAATGTGGATCCTCCCTAGGGTAGATCTCCAGAAAAGGGACCCAGGTGACTTCAGCGCTAACTTTTTGCGCCATGCAGCAAAGGAGGAACCGCGCAGCCAGGGAGTTCGCAACCAAGTCGCCCATGGCTTCGCCCTCTCAGTCGTGCCCCCTGCCTTCAACTTCCAATGATCTGGCAAGAGACCCCCCCACACCCAGCCCCACCCCACCCCACCCCACCCCACCCCACCCCACCCCACCCACCCCACCCCACCCCACCCCAACCCCGCCCCGCCCCCCCCTCCCCGCCCCACCCCCCCCCAACCCCACCCCCCCCCAAACCAACCCCACCCCCCACCCCACCCCCCCCCCCCCCGCCCCCCACCACCCGACCCTGACTGTTTCTACAGAAAACTGGCAACCCTTTATTCTGTCTTTTCACAGGATTTAGGTTGGCTGCTTCTGCCAGCGGAACTCATGATCTAGGAATGGTTTCACTGGCTGTGTCTTGCATTGGAGCCCATCATTTTTGCAATGTGGTTCTACTCAGGATCTTTTTTGTTTCCCCTCTTTGTTTTCTTCCTTTTTTGTTCTTCTCCTTGTTTATTTTATTTTTCTCGGGCTGGTCCACGGTTGGTTGGTTGGTTGGTTGGTTGGTTGGTTGGTTGGTTGGTTGGTTGGTTGGTTGGTTGGTTGGTTGGTTGGTTGGTTGGTTGGTTGGTTGGTTGGTTGGTTGGTTGGTTGGTTGGTTGGTTGGTGGGTAGGTAACCCATCGATCCTTCTAAACGTTTTCCGCCAGGCGGAGCTTGGTGCCATCGCGCAAGCGCAGGCGAAACCGTGCGCGGAGCGTGGCATCGGAGCAAAACACCACTTTGGGAATTCCAAGGACCCTCCCAGGAAGCAATGGAACCCGAAAAAAGGCCCCTGGAGGAACATCAATGGTCAAAATAATGGGACAAAAACCATACTACCATATCAAGTCAAACCATCTTAAGCCAAAACGTGTTCAGTCATAGTCAGTCAAACTATATGTAGTCATGATCATAAGTTATAAGAGAACAACTTGATAATTTATGTAGCCCCGCATAGTGCTATCATCTTGCCCCCGCCTGCTTTCATACGTGAGCAACGGGCAATATGAGAGGGATCATTTCTTGGGTGCCATTTTATATGTTGGTTTTCCAGGCTGATGGGTCTCGGTTTTGTTTGCTTGGCCTTCAATCACTTGGGGAGGGGTCACAAGGCAACCCATTTCGGGAGACCCTACATAGGGTACCCACAAGTTTGGATGGGTTTGATTCGAATTTCGGGTGGGTAAGCAGCGTGCCACCGAGCCAGCTGGAAGCTGGCTTCTCAATCTGGGAAGCGTGCCCTAGGGCCAAAGACGAAACCACCAGGAAAGCTTTTGTTCGGGGGTCGCTTTCGAGGAAGCCCTGCCAGGTGTTGCCGCGGAATGGCATGCGTGGGGCCCAGGTTTCAACTCGGGAATCGGCGAAGGGAGGCGCCCGGGGACCCAAGGGGCGCCAAAAGGAAACCATGGGACTCACGATTTTGACCCACACCCGTAAGGCCACCGTCTAGGATGTGGAGTACATCTATCGCAAAGCAGATCTTGCTTGAGGAGGGGCAATCTTTTGATGTGAAAGAACAAGGTTGCCAGTTGCAATATTCCAGTTCTTTGCATTCTGGGTGGTTCGTTTTGAGAATTCCTGGGTTGTTTCAAAGGCAAACCGCAGGGAAACTGACTTTCGCGGCTCCTGCAGGTTTGTTCATGCGGCGGACAGCCGGTTCCGAAAAGCCTTCCGGATCAGAATGAGTAGACTCCTTTCATGTGGTCGTAGAGGTTGAAGGAATTCCTCGTGCTTCAAGCACCGCTGTGTTGATTCAACCTCCGCTTTTTCAATTCGTTTGGCTGGAGTTTCTTTTCGCGTGCTTGCTCTTAGTCGGACTGAGGGTGTCCGCCTACCAACTGAGCATGCTCCAAGTAGCACTGGGTCACCTTTCGACTTTCCAAATAAGGTTCACTAAATGCCCCATGGAATCTTTCACTGAGTTATTGGGTTTAGGATGTTGAAATGAGCGTTTGCAAATGTCCATACCTCCAAGTTTCATCAGGTGCAAGATGTTTGATTCCTTCCATCAGGTACAGTCACGCCTGCTTTTCTCCATTTCGACGACATGTGGCGTGACGAAGTTTGGTTGGGCCGAGATTGAGAGACACATTTTTCTTTCCCTTGAAGCTGACCGGAGGTGAAAGAAAGAGTCAAAGGCTAACAAGCTGAAGTCGAAAGCTGACGCCTCAGACGTCTGAAGCATCGGCAGCCCATGCTCAGGCACGGGCTCCAGCTGGGCCTCGGCCTTGGAAAAAAGCCCTTGGATTGGGGTTAGAAAGGTCAGGGGTTGCCTGAAATCCTTGGTTTGGGTATACTATGTATTTGCATGATATATATATATATATATATGTGTATATATATATATATATATTTGTCCATGTATTGCATGTTCTTTTGCCTGTGGGGGTGCCCTGAAATCCATGTTGTTGGCTGGTCCCCTTGGTTGTTTAAGCCCATTTGGGTGTGTTTCGCTTCTACTTCTGCCTTTTGGGGTATTCAACCCAGTTGGGTGTGTCTCCAAATTTGGACACATCTGACAATCGTTGCCCCTCGATGTTCACTTCCAAACAGCATCCAAAAGGGGTGCCCCGAAAACCGATACACCCATGTTGGTCACCTTTGGGGGGATTCTTGAAATGGCGATGTTGAAAGGATGTACAAGGACCTCAGGAGCCTTCTGTGTCAAACCGTAGATCCATTCAAGTAGCCGGAATTCTCTTGGTTTCGTGGCAAGATGGGCAAACAAACGCACCCGAGTTCCGGGCATTCTCAGTTGCACCCTTGGTCCCTTGTTGGCCCATTTTTGGCCAAGGTCCCGAGAACTTGTGCAAGTCATCAAACTTATCTTGGCACTGCGCTTTGCCTGTGCCACTTCCTTGGAACACTTGCTGGTTCTCAGCAGGGAACGAGGGAATGAGCATCCCTTGTGGTTTCCTTTGGAACACCCTGAGTCATTCCCTGCTGAGCACCGGCAAGAACATGCTTGAAGCATAGAATTGGACCCCATGTTTGTTTAGGGATCACCCAAAAAGCCCCCCCTTTTTTTGGAGACAGATGGTCGCCACGGCGTCTCCAACTGTGATACCCTCCCCAAAAGGGTGGTTTCCTTTTGATCTCCCTTCGGTGCCTTAAAAGAGGGGGGGGCGTTCCAACCGGGAAGGGTTTCTGTCCTAGGTCTGACCGAGTCTTGCGCTTAGCAATCTCTCGGGCCCGATGGGCTTTGCGCTCCGACATTCACTGGTTTGTATCAGCGGGTTAGGTGGTTTGAGGCAGAGCATTTGAGGCAATTGGGAGAAATCTGTTCTGGTTGTGGATGAAGGATAGGGCAGAACCTTTTTGGGAGATCCCCATTTGGAGACAAATCCAGGCGCTTGGTTGCGAATGAATTCCCATATTCGAAGTGAGGATTTTCGGGCATCCCAAACCTGCCGGGGGTTTCGGGACTGGTTTTTGGTATCCAAGGGTGTCTTGGAGATGTTTTTTTTTTTTTTAGCCCTGGTCCCCCCTTAGCCCTGGTTGGTTGGTTGGTTGGTTGGCTGGTTGGTTGGTCGGTCGGTTGTTTGGCTGGCTGGCCGGGGATGCGGCCAGCCAGCCAAACAACCAACCAACCGACCCACCAATCACAGCCAGGGTCAGGGCCAGAAAAAGAAAAAAAAACACCTCCGCCAGGGTGTCTTTGAAGAACCGAACAAGTGGATACGAAGCTGTGGGGCCTTGAAAGGGAAGCTGCATGAAGGGCCCATGTCGGGGGGGGGTTCCAAAGCGCAGCTGCGCCTCTCTCTCTCTCTCTCTCTCGCGCCGGCGGGGAGTCGAGCATGTGCATTGCCCAACAGTTGGTTGCTTTTGTTTCTCTTACCGGGTTCTTCCTTAAAAAGACAATAGGTATCTAAAAACAAGGTTGATGCAAATTCCGCCCCTCCCCCCCCCTCGCCCCAATGTGGAAGCTGAGCTGTTCGAGGAGGCCTTCAGAAAATTCCAGCCAGTTTGGCTCTCACCTGGGCAAGATTGGGGACTCAAGCCTCCTGACCACTCTTCGAAATACCGATGGCGGTGGCTTGTTTTTTCAGAAGAACCTGGTATGGCTCGTACCGGTGGGGGCAAGGGTTCAGTTGTCACCATCAGACATTTCATGGCTACCAACTTGGATGCCATGTTTCTGTCTGGTGAACTACCCCCCAAAACGATGCTCATCTTGTTGCATGAGTTTCTTCTTGGCATTCCCCACCGAGCCAAACGAACAAAACCAGTCGGAAAAAGAGTCATTCACATTTCCCCTGCGTAGAACCAAGCAGTTCTCTCTCTCTCTCTCTCTCTCTATCTTTGACAAGTGGACAGTGAGCCATTCTCCCTCCATTTTTCCTGATGCCAGCCGCGTGCTCCACTTTCCGCGTTTGCCCGAGCCAAGTGCAAGGCCCAGCACGCGGTACGAGGCGAGGGTATTTGAGAGGGCTGCCTTTGAAAAAAGGCTTCAGGCTTTGAAGGCATGTTGCTTTTGGCAAGGTACTTGGAATCTCACTCACCACTGCCACATGCCGACTTGATCACAGCATTCACTTGAGATGCGGTCAAAGCATGCCAGCATCCGGGCTACCACAAAAAAGACCGGCAAAAGACCGGCAAAAGGAAGATGTTTTTTTCCCTCCAGGCTCCCTTTCGGAGCGCCTTTTTGCCCACTTCCCCCGCCAGGACAAGGGATGGCATTCATAAGGAAAGCCAAAAACCGCAACTTTTTTTAAAATAGGGCTTCCCTCTCCCCACCCCCCCCTCAACCCCCCCCCTACCCCCCTCAACTCCCCCCATCCCCCTGAACTCCCACCCCCCCCCCAAACCACCCCCAAGCCACAGGAGGAGGTGCCGAGCTCCAGCTCGGAGTCGGAGCCGCAGCCTCCTGCGGATCTCGGCGGAGCTTTCAGGCGTTTGCGTTGGAGCCCGGGGGATTCGGAGAAATTCGGATTTGCCCTGGCGCTCTTTTAGATTTGGTAGATGGGGCTTCGAACCGAAACCACGCCACCCACGGCGAACCAGCGAATGGTCTCGGCTCCAAGCCTTTTGGACTCGAGATGTTGGAACCCAGGTTTCCCTTACCAAAGGGTAATGGTATCCGCATAGCAGACAAGACGCACACGCCAGATTTGGATTCCCTTGACCAAAGCAAAAGACCTGGCCAGGCAGGCTGCAGGGCCAGAGTCGGAGGACTGAGCGCTGTCGGAGTCTTGTGTCATCTTGTGGGCCAGTTCTTGGGAAATCAGGAAAGCTAGACCTGTCACTTGGAGAAACCAAGTGGATCAAAGCAGCAATGAAACTCGAATGAAAACAAAGCTTCGGAGGAACAGGAACAGCAGGAAAAGCAAACACAATGACGTGAGAAAGCTGGGGGTTGCTCACGATTCCTGGTCCCCAGTTTTAACCATGGGTAACTTTCCCTGCTTCGTGGTGGATTTCGTCATTCCTGGTGGTGTCCCGAAAGGGCAGCCCATGTATCGCGAACCTTTTGATCAACCCCCCTGTAGGTCTCCTCTGAGGGAACCACCACTGACATACTGTGTTTGTTCGTTGGGGCTTGTATGCCATTGGGGTTTCATCGCGCAAAGCGGATCCAAAGATTTGGGGGTTGATCAACAGGTCCGTGATACATGGGAAAAAAACCATTGGTTAGAAAACCATGAAGCATATGTTTGCTTACCCGCTTACCCATGGTCAAACTGAGATTTGGCCGCAGGGAGCATTTTGATCCACCCCCCCCCCATTTCTCAAAGGTTCACCTTGAAAGTCCCAAGGGACCCTTCTCAGGACGGCACTTCCGAAGAGCAGTCCTTCGATGGCCTGAGGCAGGCTCGATCCTTTTAAGGGTGGGGATTGCCACCTGTGGGATACCACATGGGATTGCTGTTGGGGATACCAATTGGGAGATTCTCCTTTGTTTTTGTTGATTGTGACTCATTTGATTAGGTCCTTTTCTGTTTTTTGGACTGCGGATCAAGGTTCCCTCAAAACAGAGAGAGAGAGAGAGAGAGAGAGAGAGAGACAGAGGGAGACACACAACACACAACACGCAGACACACAGATACACAGACGCAGACGCATAAACACGCAAACAACAGACCTGCAGACAGACACGCAGACAGACAGACACAGACGCACACAGACACATACAGACAGACATACACACAGACACACAGACACAGACACACACACACACACACACACACACACACACACACACACACACACACACACACACACACACACACACACACACACACACACACACACACACACACACACACACACACACACACACACACACACACACACACACACACACACACACACACACACACACACACACACACACACACACACACACACACACACACACACACACACACACACACACACACACACACACACACACACACACACACACACACACACACACACACACACACACACACACACACACACACACACACACACACACACACACACACACACACACACACACACACACACACACACACACACACACACACACACACACACACACACACACACACACACACACACACACACACACACACACACACACACACACACACACACACACACACACACACACACACACACACACACACACACACACACACAGACGCACAGACAAACAGACACAGAGACACAGAGACACGGAGACGCAGACACAGAGAAGCAGACACAGACGAGACAGGCAGAGACACGCATACAGACTCACACAGACGCAGAATTGCACCCATGCGCACGCACGCACGCACGCACCCACCACCCCACCCCACCCCACCCCACCCCACCCCACCCCACCCCACCCCACCCCACCCCACCCCACCCCACCCCACCCCACCCCACCCCACCCCACCCCGTGCGCACGCACGCACGCACCACCCCACCCCACCCCACCCCACCCCACCCCACCCCACCCCACCCCACCCCACCCCACCCCACCCCACCCCACCCCACCCCACCCCACCCCACCCCCCACCCCACCCCACCCCACCCCACCCCACCCCACCCCACCCCACCCCACCCCACCCCACCCCACCCCACCCCACCCCAGCCCACCCCCACCCCACCCACCCCACCCGCCCCACCCCACCCCACCCCACCCCACCCCCCGCGGCCAAAGAGGCGGCGGCTGCCGCAGAGGCGAAGGCCCAAGAAAAGAGCCGCGAAGGAGGCGGCCGCGGCGGAGGAAGCGGCCCGCAAGGGGAAGGCCCGCAAGGCGGCAAAGAACAAGAAGAGGGCGGCGTCCCGGAAAACCGCCCGGGCCACAGCCCGTGAGAAGGCGGCAAAGGACCCAGGCTACGCCGAGCTGCTGGCTGTGGCACAAGGCCGGCGCAACGAGGCGCAAAAGAAGCGCCGCGCAGCCCGGCGCGCAGGCGAGCCGTCGCCGGGGCGCGGCCCCAAGCACGCTCGCCTGGCCCCAAGCGCGCTCGCCCAGGCCAAGTAGACGGCCGCACCAAGTCCGCGCGCGCAGAAAAAGCACGGCGCCGGTTTGAGGAGGAGCGCAGAGTGAGCGCGCGTCAGGCCAAGCTCCTCGAAGAAGCGGACGAGCTGACCTCCTCCGTTAGCTCAAGCTCAAGCGAAGAAGGGCCCACAGACACCGCCGCCCCGCCGTGGTTCCGCGCCCAACAGGCCGCGGCGGCGATGAAGCCACCCCACCCACCCACCCACCCCACCCACCCGCCCCACCCACCCCCACCCGCCCCACCCACCCCACCCAACCCACCCCACCCACCCCACCCACCCCACCCGCCCCATCCCACCCACCCACACCCACCCACCCACCCCACCCACCCACCCACCCACCCACACCCACCCCACCCACCCCACCCCCACCACACCACCCACCCACCACCCACCCACCCACCCACCAACCCACCCCACCCACCACCCACCCCACCCACCCACCCACCACCCACCACCCCACCCACCCACCCCCACCCTCCACCCACCCACCCACCCCCACCCACCACCCACCCACCCACCCACCCCCACCAAACCCACCCACCCACCCACCAAACCCACCCACCCACCCACCCACCCACCCACCAAACCCACCCACCCACACCAAACCCAACCCACCCACACCAAACCCACCCACCCCTCCATCACGTCCGCCAGGGCCAGGACGTCGGTGTGGAGGTAGCAGTCGTGGAACTCGCGGAAGGTCTCCCACCCCATGAGATAGGCGGTGTTGACGGCCAGCCGGTGGTCCTCTGCGCTCACCGCTTTTCCCGCCAGCACGCTGGGGTGTACTTGGAGCGTGCTTGGCTGTGCTGGGCTGTGCTTGACTTTATTGGGCTGTACTTGGAGTGCATTGGCTGTACTTGCCTGTGCTGGGCTGTATTGGGCTGTACTTGGTTGTACTGGGCTCGACTTGGCTGTGCTTGGCTGTATTGGTCTGTACTTGGAGTGTATGGGGTTGTATTTGGAGTGTACTCGGAATGTATTGGGCTGTACGGGCTGTACTTGGCTGTACAGGTGTGTGCCTGGCTGTATTCGGTTTTACTTGGAGTGTACTTTGCTGTACTGGGCTGTGCTTGGCTGTGCTGGGTGTATTTGGCTGTATTTGGCTGTACTTGGCTGTACTGGGCTGTACTGGGCTGGACTTGGCTGTACTGGGCTGTACTTGGAGTGTACTTGGAGTGTACTCGGCTAATCGGGGCTGTGCTTGGCTGTACTGGACTGTACTTGAAGCTTGTTTCTGTCGCTCAGCGGCGCTTCTGTTTGGGAAATAGCAGACAATGACAGGTTGGGCACTTGTGCGGCAGCTTGCATTTTGAGCGCTTTGCGAGCGCGCGCTTTTGCGTGTACTTGCGTGCGTTTGCGTGTTCCGGCTGGATTACGCTGCCCTTGCGTGTGCTTGCGCGTACTTGCGTGTACTTGCGCGCGCTTGTGCGCGCCCTGCTACTCATGCGCGCGCAAATGAGCAGGGCCATCGTGCTTAACGAAAAGTCACACAAGTTGACTTTGCTTTTGGGCGTCCCTCGGGTTCCCACTTGCACGCATGCCTCTTCAGAAGCAAAATCTGAAGAAACGTCTCCAAACACGTTGATTTCAATCACTGGCCGGCATAGCCAAGCGTGGCCAAACACAAAGGCGTTGCCAAGGGCGCCAGGACGATGTGGTGTTTATTAGTTAGCCCCAAAACTTGTGTCTTCAGGTTATTTGTTCATAAGGGTGCAAATCAACGTGCTTACAGCACTTGTGCGTATTTGTAAGTTGGCTGCGCCATTATAAGCCGGTATTCGCACATTCCGCACTGGATGAAAGAATTTAGATCAACCCTCATATTCACACGTAAATGTGCATTGAAAGTTATGGTTGTCAATCGAGGCTTGATTCGTTGTGTGTGCGCGAGGTCAAGCGCGAGTTCAAGCAAGAAGTTCTCACGCTCGAGCGGAAGTTGGATGCTGTGGACTTCCAGCTGTTCGAGGCTGGCTCTGACAATGGAGGCTGATTCGATCCGCCACATGAGCAACCGCAGGTTCTCCGAGAGAAGCAACGGCGTTCTCTTGGAAGCGGTACCACTGCCTCAGGCGGCGAAGGCGTCAGATCCGCTTCACTTGACAATCCAGGCTCCTTTTACGGAGGTTTCGTAGTTCATCTTATTTCAGGTTAGTAAATATAATAGATTCCCTAAATATGATGGAGGTATGGTGAGGGTACCCTCCTGGCCACGTTTACATGGAAGTCGCTTTCTCCCTGGGATTTTTCCCGAATGCGTAGCAGAAGGGTTCCCGTTTAGAGTTTAGAGGTCGGGGGTCTGGGGGTTAAGAGGTGACCTGAAGTCGTTGATTTACGTCCTCAAGCGTTCGCAAGCGTTCGTATGTGTTCGCGAGTGTCGTGCTCGCCGTGCCAGTGGGGAAAGCGAAAAGCGTGCCATTTAGATGACTTGAAGCGTGTCATTTTTCGTGCCCCTGTGGGGGAATTGTAGCTCTTAGCATGTGAGACGTCATTTCGCTGCGCAGGCGCGGTGTTTTGGAAGGCTGTGTGTTCTCGTTGCCGTGCCATTGGGATTTGCGTTTCAGGGGTGGTCGTTTTGAGGTGTTCTGCTTGGAATGCGCGTGCAAGCGTTTCCTCGAATGTGGTTTTCGTTGGCCCTGTTGTACAATTGGCTCA